CCATGGTGATTTTTGCATCCAACATCCACTTTATCATACTGTCGAGCTCCTGCCAAGTACTGGACAAAGACCCGGCGGGCCCTCTGGGTGATCGGGGCCGTTGACCAAGTGTCGAATTGTGGCGCGGGATATCGGTGCGTCCAAGTAGGCTTCCCCGCCCAAGCAACAGCGAAGGAGTTTTTCTGTGCGATGTTACGCAACATATTAAGCGCAGTGGGAGAGAAATGGTGTCTTGGAACGGTAGTAGGAAGCTTCTATTTGTGAATCTACGGAGGTGGGCACTCCGTTAGCGGCACACACATGGTCGTGTTCAGTATGGGCTGAGACGATTGGGAGGGGACATCTACCCAAGCGTAGAAGTTCGTTGGCCAAATCAATTGAACACCCTAGATGATGTAAGAATTCGCACCGAGCACAGCATCCCAGGGTAGTTGGGAGGAAACAAACATAGGATGCGTCATTTTGCAATCCCCTATGAGAAGTTCCACTGTAGTGATACCGAGTGTTTTGAGTATGGTGCCATTTGCGGTTTTTAATTGGTGCAAATTGTTGAGTACTAGGGAACGGTCACATAGTTCTGGTTTGATTAGGGAACATGTAGCACCAGTATCAAGTAAAGCATACACTGAGACAGAGCCGACTAACACGTTTACAAAAGGTTGCCTTAAACTTGGCGAAGTATAGATGCAGGGAACGAACTCAGACTTACCAAGGCTTGATCGATCGTTCCGGTTTTGGGTGCGGGGGACAGTTGAGGGAGAAGCGATGTTTGCGTTATGGCCACACACTCGAGCTTTTGATTCAAATTTAGCGCAGTAATAGCATTCCTTCTGGGTGTTTGACATTCGTGGTCAGCCTGGTGATAAACAAGATCGGCTCGATGGCATCCGTGAAGGACTCACCAAGTTATCATTGGACCGCCTAGACTGTCTTACTAATGCTGCTGCCTCGTATTTTTGGACGACAGCGAAGACCTCGACGGAATTGGGTGGTTCCCGGGAGTAGGATCCGCAGGTTTCTTCATCAATAACCCCTTGGATTAAACGCTCAAGCACAAAGAACTCACGAACGGCGACCGACACGTTGTCGAAAGCACGTACGGCTAACCAGCGTAGATCAGTTACGTAGTTGTCCAACGACTCTCCTATCAGTTGGGACCTGGACCAAAACTGCTGCTTTGCCACAGGGTGAGAAACTCCGCCTCCGAACAAAGAACGCAGCTATTCCCAAATGTCCACGACTGAAGAACTGACTGAAAAACTTGATGACATTAAGACTTCTTGGACTCTGGGGTCCAAGTGAGAAAGAATGTAAGGTCCGCGTTTAGACGGAGGGACAGCACTCAGATAATGGACCATTCTCCACTTCCAAGTTTCCAGGTCGGTACAAAAAGTGAATCGGTTTGGAGGAGCGGGTGGAGGCTGGACACCAATAGATTTCTCGTCAGGCCTTACAGGGTTTCAAAAACGTCAACGCCAAGCATGTGAGAAGCTCTGGAAGGGCATGATTCTATGCGCAGGACCGAACACTTGACAGGGTTGATTGGCATCCGCCACAATTTTGACCACTCCCAAAACTTGTCGAGAGCTGTCTGCAAATCCGTGGGTCCAACAGAATACTTAACTGTATTCCAGAATTTTAAGTCATCCGCAAACATAAGGGATGGTATTTTAAGCTTCTCAGGGAGGTAATTACATACAATGCGAACAATGGAGGTCCGAGAACCGATCCCTGAGGAACATTACTCAGGACTTCTTGTTTGGAAGACAGCGCGGAACCCACTAAAAGGCTCATCTGCTTTCCTTCCAGGAAAGCCGAAATCTATTTCAATACTTGGCCTGAGACGCCGTAGGATTCGAATTTAAAACAAGATGACAATGCGGTAGGTGTCAAAGATTTTAGAAAAGTCTATGAACAAAACAGCCACCGCCTGTCTTTGATCTACAGCCTCAGCCCAGCACTCTCGGGATAATAACATACTAGTCAAAAAAGCGTGACCTCTGCGGAACCCAGTTTGAGACGGGCTGAGAAAAATGAGCGTGGCTAAGTGCTTCTCCAGTGCGCCTCTTACCTGCTTCTCTACTGCTTTCGCTAGTACATTTGTTTGGCTTACCGGTCTATAATTTTCAGGTAGGTGCCTATTAACCTTTTTGAACATAGGGCACAATATAGCATCATTCTAGCCTGCAGGTAGGGAGCAGCTACGAAGAGACTTATCAAACATATTTAATCGGTTTACACAGTAAATCAGCCAGCTGCTACAAAAGTTTGGGATGGAGCGCATCTATCCTGGCAGCTTTAGTGGGATTCAGGTCAGTCGGGAGCTTCAGTACCTGAGGTTCCGAGATGAAAAGGTCAACCAGCAGGGAGGCTACTGGTAATTTTGCCTGAATTTCGATATTAGGCAAAGGAGATTCACGATAACACGACATAGCATACCGTTCCGCAAGTAAGCAGGCCTTGTCCTGCTCGGTTGATACTTCGGTGCCGTCAGGTACAAACAACACACGAATAGGAGAATTTTCATCGCATCGCCGTTTGACTTAGCTAAAGAACCGTTTCGGGTTTGTTGATGTGGGTCGAGTCAGCGCTAGTCTATATCTCAAGCGTGCGGCCCGCAGATGTTGTTTACGTGCATTTTGCACGCCATGGTAACGATGATAGTTACTTGTTGAGGGAGCTGCTACGTAAGTCCTCCAACACCTGGAGCGCCTACTTAGCAGCCTGCACACCACGTCCAAACCAAGGGGATTTGCTCCCACTTTATTCCTCACTAAGATTGGAATGTGAGGAGAAAAATCTCGCAACGAATGGAGTTGAACTTTCCCAAGCAACCTGAACGGTATCATCCTCTGAAGCGATACGGAGTTGATTGACAATCTTGTCCCTGATAGCATAGAAATCAGCGCGTTAGGTAATTGGCCTACCGACAACACACGCTGCACGCTCGTGACTTAAGGCGCATTTGTACGAACGCGATTTGGACAAACTTGGTCACTAGAGCCTACGAGGAAACCACACACTATGTCTCGTAGAAAGTTCGTCGGTTTCTCAACGACGAGGTCTAAAATGGAAGGCTGTTGGCCCTCCATGAACCAAGTTGTCCTTTATATACACTGCTGAAGGGATGCTTGCAAGGATAGGTCAAGGAGATAATTAAAATTAAGTTCAAACGCTACGATGCAGAAATTGCGCTTATCAACTTCAGGAATATTAAAATTATCCATCACCAGACATAAATTTTTCGTAAGAGTTTGAATGAAATCAATGAGCCTGCGTGACACATGTTCAGGGCTACTGTATACTAACACCATTTTTCACTGCGTGAAAGAAGCGCCAGCATCCACCGCCAGGGACTTGGCAGCTACATT